CCTGCTTTCGGATGCGTTTAACGTTCTCGTGTTTGGAGCACTGGTACTGTCTGTCGGAACCCTGATGGACACCACCACAGTTGGTGCACTTTAACGCCACGGCTCCATCCACAGGGCAGTCGAAAGTGGTATGTTTTTAAGCGCAGTTGCTGCAACGTGGCTTGATGTTACAGTGGCGGGTACCGTGTCCATAATTGAGGCACCCCTGGCACTATGCTACGTCACGATGTCCGCCACGGTATGACTCCCAGCGTACTACGACGGAATATATCGAGTGAATGGCTTGCGTGCATTGAGCGTCACCGTCCTATTCTGGAAGTGCACCAGGAAAATACAATCCGAGTCTTCACGTTTTCGTCTCTCCTCGTCATCCGGAAGACAGCGATTGGGGCCAACTTGTACCGGTCCTTAATTTCGGCTTCGCTCATTTTGGGGTTGATGTTTGGTAGGTTTTTAAATATACACTGAAGGTTATTTGTCCTTCATTATTAAATTTATCAATGAATAGGATATTGAGCGGCTTTATTTCAAATCTTTAAAGAAAAAAAGACTCCTTTCTATAATAAACTAGGGTTGCTTCCACTCACTTGCTATAACAAAAAATCGGGATTATGAAATTATTATCATGATCATCAGATCATCAGATGAGAAATTCCGAAGTTATTTCAGTCTGTAACTTTACTTCCATTGATAGAAGTGAGGGGGTGGAGAGTGGATACAGCATGCTCCCTTCTCTCTTCAACTACGCCTATGAGTTTGAGCAAATGATTTTGAATAATTCATATGAACATACCAAACCAAATAATAAAATCAGGAGTTATTTCATATTATTTCATGTTTGGTACACATGCGGCAGTGTTGGCAGAAACAATATTTTTGGCATTTAAATCGAACCACCGATCTTTAAACAACCATACCTTTTTTAGAGACATTATAGCACTGCACTTACTTTGAAAAAGTTGTTAGACACTATACTTGTACATGATTGGTTGCATTGATCAAGCTAAATTTTGGTCTCTAGGAATGTAAATACAAAAAAAGTAATATATATGTCCATACTCCATACTTAATTTCTTTTTCGCAGAATTTATGGAAATGTTGTTTTGGTTTATTTTCAATCAAATGAAATGAAAACTAGCAGCTGATGACGTCTATAATAAAATTCTTCTCATGATAGTATCGCAAATTGTTTAATCATTTTCAGATCTTATCCTTAAACACAATTCATTAAAATATTGATGTTTGTATTAATAAATTAATTATTTTAAAAAATTAATTAATTTAATAAATTAATAAATTAATTAAAGGTGACTTAATTAAAATTTTAGATGAATATTTCAGCATACAAAATAGCAGCAAAAGGAAAAACTTCTTGAACTGCGCATTGCTGAATTAGATGAACATTTAAAAACTCCATGATGCTACAGTTGGAGTTTCACTAGAATTACCTTCAATATTGTTGTCCCAAGCCGAGCTTCGAACGCAGGGTAGAAAACAGACAACCAAACAGTGTTGTTTTAAAAAACTACACGAAACTCGATCTGTTGCAGACCTGCATCCATAGGCGTTAGTCAGAGGGGGCAGAATGGTGTGACTACGCCGCCATAACTAAGCAACAAAATGTGTCAACTAACAACTAAAATAAAATAAATATGTTGTTGCTGCATTAGGGCAAGAGCCCCCCCCCCCCCTTCCCTCTTCCTCTGGCTATGCGTATGTCTGCGTCCCAGCCTATAGACAGAGAAATAAAATACACCACCCCAATTTTGAAATCAACCCCTCAATATATGCTTACTATCCATTCGTATTTGGACCACTTATGGCACGAGGCAAATGCTTTTCTTAGATTAATTTTTGTTTTCTGCTTTTTTGTTCCTGGTGAACGTAGTACCTGTTTCTCTCCTCAAACAAAGCGCTTGCGCTTATTTATTTATATCAAAACACTTTCTGTCGTGGTCTACAAGATTGGATATCCCGTAAAGACATGATTAAACAATTGTTTATAAAGTTTAATGTATTGAGTAAACGGAAACAATTAATAATTTTTCATTACGTTGACAATCAGAACCCCTTTCATTCAGCATATTTTCATTTGTTTGTGTGTGTGTGCGTGTGCGTGTGTGTGCGTGTGTGTATGTGTGTGTGTGTGTGTGTGTGTGTGTGTGTGTTTTTTTTTTTTTTTTTTTTTTTTTTTATTTTTTTTTTTTTTTTTTTTTGGCAAGGAGGAAACCTTCAAAAAGGCCATCGTGCCACCGCTTGACGACTGGGCGCACAGTCGCGGTGACACGGTGTGTGGGATTCTTACCGCACTAAAACCTCCTTAGACGCCTTGCCCTTTTCCCCCGGAACCACTTGTCGTATTACTTCGGAGGGGGCCGTGCATTACGCACCTCACTTTACCTCAGCTAATTGGCGCTTCCAGTTCGCTGATCGTCTCTCCAATTTGTGAGCCATTTATCTCCCAGCGTCACGTTCTACTCGGTTATCCCTGGTGGTGGATACAGCCTACTCTGACGGAGAGTTCTCCCGGCTTCGGCTTTCAGTTCGCACTTGTGTGAGCACATTACTACTTTCTAGTTGGTCTTCCCGCCATTTTCGCTGCAGCGCTGACATGATCTGCGTTACTGCTCTGCTGACGGCGTTAAAGGTGTCCTCCTCTCGACACATTTCTTCGACGACATTCTCCGTGCTAAGGGCGAGCATATCCTCTCGCACATCATCAAATCTAGGACATTTGTAACAAGGTTACAAGTATTCAAAAAAATAAGTCCTAGAATACAGTCCTACACAACCCCATTAAAATTACGATTTTCACACGAGCGAATCGCGTTCCTAGTCTCTGGACTCGAACCGGTCAGAAACGTCAGGCGAGGAATGTCAAATGACGACGGGTAGGTAGAGTTTATGCCACCGGAAAAACTCTCCCGAGTGTGTATAATGGGACACGAATTCTGACCTGACAAACTTCGGTTCGATACTGGGTCGTAAAAGTAGACGGCTGTCCAATTGAATGCGATCTGATCTCAACTGCGTTACCGATCACACGGTCAAAGATAGTTTATCTAGTGAAGGCAAGAATTAAAAGAAGTAGGAGTACCTAGTCGATGTAGAAAGGTCTAGTGGTTAAAAAAAAAGCCGTTTGCTGAATTAGTGATTTTTTCCGGGTTTGTAGAATAAAAGTGCGAGTAAATTTTGCTTTACTAAGCCAGTTCAGTTTACAGCTAGGGAAGCCATAGTGTAAAGTGTGAGGACGCTTCGCTTGCACAAGCAAGTGCCAGCCATTTCGAAAGGTAAATCCGTCAGCTATGAAAATGATAAAATCTATCACGGTGATATGTTTGAAGGAACAATCCCTTCAAACAAGGGTGCACCCCTCGGGTCGTGGATCCAGAACGACCGAGCGAAGGACGGATCCCTTCATTGAGGTCGACTCGCAGGGACGTCCCGTACACGTGTTGGACTGATTGGAGTCGGAACAAACGGTTCACTCCTAACCTCACACACGCCATCTGCAGATCAGCCACGTGCATTACCTCTGGGAAGCTTTGCGCGAACGTCGAAAGCACGACGGCTTGGTGAATCCCAACCTCACCATAACCTCAACGTAGCGGTGAGTAGCGAACGTTGCACGGGGAGGGTGTAATACGCTAGCAGAGCCACAAACCTCTTACACGACAAAACGACGGACACCAGCGAACGAACATTTGCCACCCACGCACTCGGCCCACGTATCGCCGAGGCTGAACCACGGACACGTGTCCCGACATCCAGCGCTACAGAAGTCAGGTTAGCACAGATCAAAACCCTATTCGATGTACCCCCTACTAACCCTAGTTTTATGAATAAACACCTGAAATGCACCTCGCAGTGAAGAGATTCGAATAAGTGATCGGACACATGAAAGAGTGACGGAAGCATTTAATTGGGTAAATTCGCGTGAACGTTGTTAATTATTCCCGTAGGTAAGCAGAGGCAAACCTTCAAAGGAAACCCCTCTTACTGATTTGAATGAGTCTTTCCCCTGTTGGTTAAGTTTTGATTTTCAGAATTCGCAACCGCTTTGCTCGCCTTTTGTTGTTACGAGTGAACTCGCCCTGAGGTCTCAGAGCCGGGACGGGTCTGTTTGAGTCCCTCGCTTCTTCACGGTAGATTCTCGTATCTACCTGGCGCTTAAGTGAAGATTGTAAGCATTCCTAGTTCCAAAACACCTGACCCGTTACATTTGGCGCCCAACTAACGGTTGATTGAATTGGATGAAAAGTTTTTTGAATTTATTGAATTTTCTTAGTTATTTTGAAATTTAGCATATAGGCAGCATTAATTTGGTATTGAACTAGTAGGTAATTTTGTAAGAGTGAATTGAGTATTTCGGGTGAATTATCATTAAAATTTTGAGATTAATTATCGATTTTGTACATAGTAGGCTTAAGAAACTAGAATTGAATTTGAATTTATGTGTTTGTCCAATATTTACTTCCTAATCACTTAAAATTGAATTTTTTATTTACTTTACTTCTGCATTTACTTTGAAACGCTTATTGTTTCTTTATACTGATTCTATAATTATTTAAATTCTACTCAAAATGAGTAATCGAGATCCTGATGTAGTAGGAGCATACATAAATCCGCTTGACTTGTTGCCAGACGAAGTTGATTATGAACTAAAGCTTCGATGTGTGTCCATTTTGGGGACCATCCACGAACGTAGGCAGAAATTGCGGCGGGTTCAGCTAGAAGAAATAAGAAGACCAAAAGTTCTGTTTACAAAAAAGTCAATTGTCGAAGAATATCAAACGGTTAAAACAAAGGTCCTTGATTTGAAACACGTACTGGAAATTTTTCCGGAACCTAAACTGATTTCGAGGCTCAGGCATTGTAGAGGGAGAATACTACGCGCAAATACTGTTACAAGGGAACAACTAAGGGTTAAGACGGAACTGCTAGGAGAAGTTGAAGGTCTGTTAGATCGTTACGGAAACCCTGAGGATCGTCGACGTGGCATGTACGACCCGCAAGACGAACTACAAGGAACACAGGACATGTCAGGGAGAAGTAACATTCTAGATGATCGCTCAACAATGGATGTGCCAGGACAACTACAGCCACCTCTAACACCCCTCACGGCTCACAGTACACCACGGAGACAAGAAGATAACCTGTTGGATTTAGCGGCGGGAGGGGTCGAAGAAGATCAACACGTTGAGGACATACCAAGGCAAGTTTCGGGAAGTGAAGGTTCAGACGATTATCGACTGCCACTACTACCCAATGAAAGCAATCCATACCAGCAGACACCACTTTTGAACCGCCGGAATTGGAAGCCAAATGGGAATGAAGGTAACGGACAAAATCGGAACTCCGTTCAACCCCTTGATGCAGACTGGAGGCGAGAAGTAAATGAAATGATTGAACGGTCGTTAGCAACTCATATGGAGGCGTTGACGATGAACATAGCAACGATGTTACAAAACCAGCTACCTCAGGCACCTTCGGAACCACCAGTACACCAACCTGCACCAATTGATGTTCCTGTTCCAGAACCTGCACCGCAACCTAGACGAGAAGGATCAGTGGAGCGAAACTATCCTAATTCGGTAGCGTCGCAAATAGCAGATCTGAACGATTTTATGCAGAATCGTCAACGTGAAGTACCACAAGAGGACTACAACGATCGACGGTATCGATGGTTACGTGTACCAGTCAACAAGTGGCGGGTCAATTTCAGTGGAGATACCCGTGGACCGACACAGTTCCTAAATAGAATCGAAATCCTGGCCAAAAATAATGCCGTGTCCGACCAGGAGCTCCTTTGCCAGGCAAACTTCTTCTTCAAAGAAGGTTCCGAAGCAGAGGAATGGTATTACACGTTTTGTCACAAGTTTTCGACGTGGACTGCGTTCAAACATCACTTGCGACTGAGATTTGAGCAACCTAATAAGGACAGGATCATCGAGAGGCAGATACTAGACAGACGTCAGTTACCTAGCGAAACTTTCAATGCATTCTTAGGTGCGATTGAAAAACTAGCTCAACAGCTTTCGAAACCAATGCCAGAAGGCAGAAAACTAGACATTTTGTTGGAGAACATGCGTGATGCATATAAGCCGTTCTTGACGATTTATCGAATCGATCGTGTTGAGGATTTGGTAGCAGTGTGCTACAGCCTCGATAAATCGATGTACAAACCGTTTCAGAATAGAGCTAGACCTTACAACCAGGTTAACAACATTGAGGAAGGGGAGCAACCCTGCGAAGATTACGATGAGGAGGACCCAGAGGTGAATGCTGTCGCTAAGCTACAAACGCGTAAAAAGACAGGAGGTAGACCAAACCAAGGTTATCGTCAAGTACAGGATCAGACCGAGCAATCAGCCACTGGAGCAAGACCGAAAGTTCCACAGGATGACGACAACAATGTCCTCTGTTGGAACTGTCGTCAATTTGGTCATTTCTGGCGTGATTGCGAAAAACCCAAAAAAGTGTTTTGTCACTTTTGCGGCCAGATGAACGTGATTACGATGAACTGTCCAAACAATCACGTTTTTCCATCAAACGTTCAAAAAAACGAACCGGAGGAAAGAGCGTAGGGAGGGTTCTTTCTAATAGTTCTCCAAATCCTCCTCAAAGTCTAAAACTAGTTACGGAAAATGACCAACCAACCACATCCGGACCATATTCAAGGTTCGCGGTGGTGCAGCATTTAAAAATCAGACCTAACAAATGTCCACATCTTTCTGTTAGCATTCTAGGAACCACAATAAATGCACTTTTGGATTCGGGAGCAAGTGCTTGCATAATCGGGTCCCGAAGAATCATTGACAAGCACCGTCTACAGATTCACCCTATCAACCTGAAAATCAAGACTGCAGACGAAACTTCCTACGATTGTGAGGGCGTTGTATATGTTCCATATACGTACAAAGACCGTACAAATATAGTCCCAACTCTCTTAGTTCCACAGATTTCAAGGGAACTGATCCTGGGAATAGATTTCTGGGAAGCCTTCAACATTGCTCCGGCAATTGCTGACAAGGGAAATATCCATGTCCTGGAAGTAAACAGCATGGACACTTCACTAATTAGCTTTGTTGAAAGGTACTTCGACAACATCGAGGAAGAAATTGCGTTTGTAATTGAGCAAGAGGGACCCCAACCAGCAGAACCAGAGCCAAAGGAAGACATCAGCTTAGAACTACCAGCCGTTGAGGAAACAACGAACGAAAACATTACCACAGTGTCAACGGAACACGATCTAACCCCTGAGGAAAGACGAGAACTGGACGAGATCGTAGAATCCCTGAAACACACATGCAAAGGGAAATTAGGGAGAACGAACTTGATCAGTCACAGGATTGAGCTCATTGAGGGGGCGAAACCAAAAAAGCCGCCCCAGTATAGATGCTCGCCTCATATCCAAAAGGAAATAGATAAGGAAATCCAGCGTATGAAAGATTTGGATGTAATTGAAGAGTCATATGCAGAGTGGTGCAATCCACTTCTACCAGTTAAGAAGTCGTCAGGTGACTGGAGGATCTGCCTCGACTGCCGACGAGTTAATGAAGTGACCAGAACCGAAGCATATCCATTTCCAGACATGCTGGGGATTTTAGGTAGACTTGAGAAGTCCAAATACTTCACGGTCATCGACCTCTCGAAGGCCTATTGGCAAATCCCACTAGATGAAGCCAGTAGAGACTTGACGTCATTCAGAGCGGGGAGGTCGTTATACCGGTTTAAGGTGATGCCGTTTGGACTCAAAGGCGCACCCATAACTCAAACAAAACTTATTAATAAAGTTTTGGGTTTCGATTTGGAACCGAGGGTTTATGTTTATTTGGATGACATAATTATAACATCCAAAACCCTGGCAGAACACTTCTCACTCCTTCGAACAGTCGCAGAAAGGTTGAAGGCAGCAAACCTCACAATCAGCCTAGAAAAATCTCGATTTTGTCAACGGCGGATCAGCTACTTAGGGTACACACTGTCAGAAGAAGGACTGGCCATTGACAGCACAAAAATCCAGGCCATCTTGGACTACCCGACTCCAAGAACAACCAAGGAGATACGACGATTCATAGGGATGGTGAGTTTCTATAAGCAGTTTATAGAGAAATTTAGCGATCTTACAGCACCGATAACAGACTTGCTTAAAGGGAAAAAAGTGCAAAATTGGACAAAAGAAGCTGAAGAGAATTTTCTAAAAATAAAGTCTATATTAGTCTCACCTAATGTACTAGCGAATCCAGATTTTCAGCTCCCCTTCATCATCGAGTCAGATGCATCGGATGTGGCCGTAGGTGCGGTGTTGATCCAGATCCAGGATGGAATCCGCCGCCCGATTGCCTTCTTTTCGAAGAAACTCTCGGCGACCCAGAAGAAATACGCACCTACAGAGAAGGAGTGCCTTGGCGTACTACTCGCGATCGAAAAGTTTCGTCACTTCTTTGAGGGTACCAGGTTCACCGTCATCACGGATGCCCAGAGCCTCACCTGGCTGAGGAAGATAAGCGCCGATGGTGGATCCGCGAAGTTAATCCGGTGGGCTCTGAAATTACAACAATACGATTTTGAACTACAATACCGTAAAGGATCGCTAAACATTATGGCTGATGCGCTTTCGCGAGCAGTTAACAGCATAAATGTGAAGGATATAGACTATGATAAACTTACCGAAAGTATCTTGCAGGACTCCGTCAAGTACCGGAATTTCAGGGTAATCCGAGGGAAAATTTACAAGCTGGTTCCGTGTTCAGGCCTTGGTGATGAAAGGTTCGAATGGAAATATATGCCGCCAGCACATGAAAGGGTGACACTCCTCAAGGATGTCCACGATTCGACCCATTTCGGCAGGTTCAAGACGTTGAAGAAGTTACAGGAACGCTACTATTGGCCGGCAATGGACCAGGACGTCCGTAGATACTGCCAAGGGTGTGACACGTGCAAGACGTCGAAGCACCCAAACGTGAACAGCACCCCTCCAATGGGCAAGCAGAAACTCGCATCACTCCCATGGCAGGTAGTATCGCTGGATCTGGTAGGGCCATTTCCAAGGTCTAAAAACGGGAACACCGTCCTCTTGGTGGTGACAGATTTATTCTCCAAATTTGTCGTAATCCAGCCGTTCCGGGAGGCGAAAACACATGCCATTGCAACATTTCTGGAAAATATGGTGTTTTTGTTATTCGGAGTTCCAGAAATCATAATCTCCGACAACGGAGTGCAATTTAAATCTAGAGAGTTTGAGAGGCTGATGAAGTACTACCACGTAACTCACTGGAAGAACGCGAACTACCACCCAGCTAACAATCCCACCGAACGCGTAAATCGCGTGATCGTAGCAGCCATTCGAGCACACTTGAAAGACGACCACCGAGACTGGGACAAAAATATCCAGCAAGTGGCTATGGCTATACGAACCGCTGTTCATGAGACAACCCAGTTTACTCCTTACTTCGTCAATTACGGACGAAATTACATTAGTAGCGGCAATGAGTATTCTCGACTTCGTGAAATTGGAGCTGAAACGAGCTATGAGCCTGAAGCAGTAAACGAAAACATGGAAGATGTTTTCCAAAAAGTCAAAGAAAACCTTAAAAAAGCCTATATTCGATATGCCCGACATTATAATCTCAGGTCCAATAAAAATGCACCAGAATTCACAGTAGGAGAAATCGTAATGAAACGGAATTTTTGTCTATCTAGTAAACCAAAGCAGTTTTCAGCCAAGTTAGCGGACACTTACACCCCCGCAAAAGTCATAGGTAAGATTGGCACTTCTTGCTACGATCTTGAAGACATGGATGGAAAACGCATTGGAATTTTCCATACATGCGATCTCCAAAAGAAATAGTTAGGAAAATTTGATGAGCTATGTCTGTTGCTCTGTGAAGCACAGTTACGAAGGATTTGTTTCCACAAAAATACGAACTTTGTTTGGTAATTTCGGTACGGCAGAGGCATCGTCTCCAACAACTTAAAATAAACTACGAGCGACCCTGCCGACCTTTGAGCATTGAAGAAAAAAAAAGCAGTTTTGAGTCACTAAAACGTTGTAAATAAACAACATTGTTGACAGCTACTTGAGTTGGCGTGAACTAAATTGTTTCGTCCCAAGGATTTTGTAGCCAGCTTAACCACAAATGCCTGGAGTTCAACGAGTTGAACTGAGAAGGGAGAGTAGTTATCGAAGTCAGTGGGAGTCTGTAGGGACACAGATGATGATCAGGCTGCAATCCAAGGAACAATTTAGCTCTACACTAACTTTCGCACTTTAGCTCGAACTATCACTTCAATTCCGTGGCCACCACAGGTCAAATTGTAAATATAATCACCTTGATTCAAAATGTAGTCCAAACAGCTGTGATGTTTTCATTTTAATGATCTGCGTTGAGGTGAATGTTGAGGTCATTCACATTTGTCGCACGACATCTTTCTGCTCACAAGTTTATACTTACCAATCCTCTCTCCAGTGGTTTCTCCATAAAATTCATCACGTTGATTTACATAATTAGTCCAGTATTCCATAGTTTCCAGAGTTTAAACCATCCAAATCAGAAAAAAAAACAATATTTGAAACATCCGGAATTCTTTTACACGATTCACGTTGCTTTGTTCCACCCATGCAGTAGATTTGACAGTTTCACTTTCTTTGTTTTATCATTTCCGTTTCGTCTTCAAGTGTCAGAACGTAACGTCAAAACTTATCGTTTCTGTCGACCTAATGGAACGATAACTTTAGTTACAGTAGAGATAGGATATATAGGGCCACATCCGAGCAGTAATAATTAGTTCGTAATGTTTATGTTGTATTTTCTCGTAATGGCAACGAGAGTTTAAGGCTTTTCATTTTTGATTCGTCAAAAATTGCATAAGTTCACCATTATTCAGTATACACTGAAAAATTTCCTCTTCCTATTACAGCAATAGGGAAGTTGAATAATTTTGGATTTTATTTAGGTTGTTACCTGAAATTCACGCTAATGAAGCAAACCTTTTGATGAAAATCAGTATTGTTCTGAAAGTGTTCGGAAGTAAAATCTTATAGTCAAGATGTTAAGAGTCGGTTTTTTTTTTCTGAAAGTTTTCGGAAGTAAACATTATTTGTACATTTATTGGAAGTAGGTTATTTTCTGAATGTTTTCGGAAGCCAAATACAAAATTGGACAAACATATGAAATTAATCTGTAATAGTTTTAAATAAGAAGTAAATAGAAAATTAGTACAAATCATACAACACTCAACCCATATTCTATTCACTCAATCTACAAATTATTTATGAACTTAGTAATTAGTAATTAGTAATTTCTAATGATAATTAAAAAAAAAATAAATTCAATAAAATTCATTTATTTTTTTTAACAGTTAGTAGGGGAAAGTGTAACAAGGTTACAAGTATTCAAAAAAATAAGTCCTAGAATACAGTCCTACACAACCCCATTAAAATTACGATTTTCACACGAGCGAATCGCGTTCCTAGTCTCTGGACTCGAACCGGTCAGAAACGTCAGGCGAGGAATGTCAAATGACGACGGGTAGGTAGAGTTTATGCCACCGGAAAAACTCTCCCGAGTGTGTATAATGGGACACGAATTCTGACCTGACAAACTTCGGTTCGATACTGGGTCGTAAAAGTAGACGGCTGTCCAATTGAATGCGATCTGATCTCAACTGCGTTACCGATCACACGGTCAAAGATAGTTTATCTAGTGAAGGCAAGAATTAAAAGAAGTAGGAGTACCTAGTCGATGTAGAAAGGTCTAGTGGTTAAAAAAAAAGCCGTTTGCTGAATTAGTGATTTTTTCCGGGTTTGTAGAATAAAAGTGCGAGTAAATTTTGCTTTACTAAGCCAGTTCAGTTTACAGCTAGGGAAGCCATAGTGTAAAGTGTGAGGACGCTTCGCTTGCACAAGCAAGTGCCAGCCATTTCGAAAGGTAAATCCGTCAGCTATGAAAATGATAAAATCTATCACGGTGATATGTTTGAAGGAACAATCCCTTCAAACAAGGGTGCACCCCTCGGGTCGTGGATCCAGAACGACCGAGCGAAGGACGGATCCCTTCATTGAGGTCGACTCGCAGGGACGTCCCGTACACGTGTTGGACTGATTGGAGTCGGAACAAACGGTTCACTCCTAACCTCACACACGCCATCTGCAGATCAGCCACGTGCATTACCTCTGGGAAGCTTTGCGCGAACGTCGAAAGCACGACGGCTTGGTGAATCCCAACCTCACCATAACCTCAACGTAGCGGTGAGTAGCGAACGTTGCACGGGGAGGGTGTAATACGCTAGCAGAGCCACAAACCTCTTACACGACAAAACGACGGACACCAGCGAACGAACATTTGCCACCCACGCACTCGGCCCACGTATCGCCGAGGCTGAACCACGGACACGTGTCCCGACATCCAGCGCTACAGAAGTCAGGTTAGCACAGATCAAAACCCTATTCGATGTACCCCCTACTAACCCTAGTTTTATGAATAAACACCTGAAATGCACCTCGCAGTGAAGAGATTCGAATAAGTGATCGGACACATGAAAGAGTGACGGAAGCATTTAATTGGGTAAATTCGCGTGAACGTTGTTAATTATTCCCGTAGGTAAGCAGAGGCAAACCTTCAAAGGAAACCCCTCTTACTGATTTGAATGAGTCTTTCCCCTGTTGGTTAAGTTTTGATTTTCAGAATTCGCAACCGCTTTGCTCGCCTTTTGTTGTTACGAGTGAACTCGCCCTGAGGTCTCAGAGCCGGGACGGGTCTGTTTGAGTCCCTCGCTTCTTCACGGTAGATTCTCGTATCTACCTGGCGCTTAAGTGAAGATTGTAAGCATTCCTAGTTCCAAAACACCTGACCCGTTACACATTCGAAAACCACGTGCTCTGGTGATTCTTCCACATTCCCACACTCCGGACAGAAGGGTGACGTTGTGTGTCCGAACCGATGCAGGTACTTCCTGAAGCAGCCATGACCAGACAGGAACTGCGTCAAGTGGAAGTTGACTTCTCCATGCTTCCTGTTCACCCAGGTCGAAAGAGTCGGTATTAGCCTGTGTGTCCATCTACCGTTCTCTGCTGCATCCCACTCCTGCTGCCACTTAGCCATCGACTCCGTTCTCACCATTTTTCGTACTCCTCTGGTTTCTCTCGTCATATAGCACTCGTAGTCCTCCACCAAGGTGATGCCGATTGGGATCATACCGGCGATAACGCATACTGCCTCCATCGAAATGGTTCTGTACGCACTCACGACTCGCATGGCCATGAGCCGGCTCATGTACTGCTCAATTTCCTTTGGTTCTGCTTCGTTTTCAGCGCTTCAATCCAGGCTGGACCTCCGTATCTTAGTATTGATGAGGAAACACTAGCCAGAAGACGTCTCTTGCTGCTGCTTGGACCAGAATTGTTCGGCATGATTCTGGCTATTGCGTTGATGACCTTCGTCGCCTTCTCGCAAGCATATTCGATGTGGCTATTAAAGTTTAGCCGGTCGTCGATCATCACTCCCAGATACTTAAGCATGCGCTTCGAAGCAATGGTGTGCTCTCCAACGGTAATTTCTGCCCGCTGCACTGCTTTGCAGTTACTGACCAACATCACTTCTGTTTTGTGGTGGGCTATCTGCAGCTTCGCTCCTTGCATCCAGTTACCAATCGTATCTATCGCCTCAGCCGCCAACATTTCCACTTCTTCCAGCGTCTCACCGGTTACCGTCAAGACGACATCGTCCGCAAAGCCAACGATCTCAACTCCTTTGGGCAGCTTGAGCGTCAGCACGCCATTGTACATTCCGTTCCACAGCGTGGGACCTAGAATGGAGCCTTGGGGAACCCCCGCCGTGATTCTAAGCGATTTCTGCCCCGTGTCTGTCACGTAGACAAGGACCCGGTTCTGGAAATAACTACTTAGAATCCTGCAGAGGTAGCCTGGAACCCTCATTCTATGGAGCGCCTTGGCGATGGCCTCCCAGCTGGCGCTATTGAATGCATTCTTGACATCGATCGTAATCACGGCGCAGTATCGATTTCCTCTCCGCTTCTGTTTGGAAGCTTTCTCGGCTCTGTCAATCACTGTCCGAATTGCATCCACCGTCGATCTCCCTTTCCGGAATCCAAACTGTCTCTCCGACAATCCGTGTTCACTCTCCGTGCATTTCGTCAGCCTGTTGAGGATGATCCTCTCTAAGAGCTTTCCTACAGTATCCAGCAAGCATATTGGCCTATACGATGCAGGATCCCCCGGCGGTTTTCCGGGCTTCGGCAACAGCACAAGCTTTTGTACCTTCCACCTATCAGGGAACTGACCATCGTCCAGACATTTCTGCAGCACCATCCTGAACATGTCCGGGAACGTCTGGATCGCCGCCTTCAACGCCACGTTGGGAATTCCATCCGGGCCGGGAGCTTTATTCGCTTTCAACCCTTTCGCTGCTGCTATGAGTTTCTCGTTGGAGACTTGTTCAACGTTGTCTTCATCTACCTCGCCATATGGTGTAGGTGGCCAGTTCGTTGGGTCATGCTGTGGGAAAAGTCCCTCCACGATGACTTTCAGCTTGTTGTGACACATTTCAACCGGCATCGTTGGGCCTCTGATCTTCGCCATCGCAACTCGGTATGCGTTGCCCCAGGGGTTGGCATCGGCATCGCGGCACAACTCCTTGAAACTATTTGACTTGCTCAGCTTTATCTTTCGTTTCAGTGCAGCCCTGGCCTCTCGGAACACCACCCTGCGCTCCTCTCTGTCTGCTTCTGTTCTTGCTCTCTGAGCACGCCTTCTGGCTAGAAGACAAGTAGCACGGAGGGTGCTAATTTCCTCGTTCCACCAGTAGGCTGGACGCCGCCTGTTCGTTGGCTCCAGTTTTCTCGGCATAGTTGTGTCACATGCCCTTGCTAATAATTCGGTCAACTCATTCGCGCTTAGGCCCGGGACGCTGTTGTCTACCCTTAGAGCTTCGATGAAGAGATCCTTATTGAATGCCTTCGTCTTCCACTTCCGCTCGCTTACTTTCGTCCTCCGCATTTCCACCGGTGTTCGTTCGCCGATACTGTACCGGATCGCCTGATGGTCACTATGGGTGTACTCCTCGCACACCGTCCAGTTCATATTTGCCATTAGCGACGTACTGCAGAAAGTAACGTCGATAATGGATTCCCTACCATCTTTGCGGAAGGTGCTGATGGTTCCTTCGTTGGCCAGACTGACGTTCAACTTTGCCAGAGCTTCCAGCAGGCTATACCCTCTTGCGTTGGTACATCTGCTCCCCCAATCCACTGCCCAAGCATTGAAGTCTCCTGCGATGACGACTGGTCTCCGTCCAATGAGCTCTTCGGTGAGCCCATCTAGCATCTGGTGGAACTGCTCAATTGTCCATCTCGGGGGTGCGTAGCAACTACATACAAAGATTCCATTGATTTTGGCGATCACGAAACCTTCATATGAGCTTGCCACCACTTGTTGTATGGGATACCTGCCCATGACTTGTATGGCCGCCATTCCTGCTCTATCCGCCACCCAGTTACCATTATCGAGAGGGACTCGGTATGGCTCTGCAATGATTGCAACGTCGCACTTTGTTTCCGTTGTTGACTGCCACAACAGTTGCTGTGCTGTGTTACAATGATTGAGATTTATTTGGGTTACCTTCATTATTGCTGGCCCACCATCGCCTTCTTGAACTCAGGGCACCTGAAACTTCCCGTCACATGGCCATTTCCGTCCTCCTTTTTGCAGAGCATGCACCTCGGTTGCTTTGTACAGTCTTTTGCAACGTGCCCCTTCTCTCCGCATTTCCTGCACAGATCAGATCTGTCAGGGCCTTTGCAGTGTCTCGCCTGGTGACCGAAGCCCATGCATTTGTAGCATCTCTCCATTTTCTTAGATACCCGAGGAATAGCTTTCAACGGGCACACTGACCACCCAACCTTGATTCGGCCAGTCTTCAGTCTGCGTGCCACCATACGCCTTTCTCAACCGAATTGCCATCGGTACGTCTCCCAGGTTGCATTGCACCTTTAGCGCACTTTTCAACTCGTCTTCTGTTGTGATCTCGTCCAGATCCCTGCACTCGACCACTGACTCCTGGGATAAGGCTCTTACGTTCGCCGTCTCGCCAAGAGATTTTTCGACGAGCTCCTTAAAAGCTGAGCTCTTAACCGTAGGGTCCCTTTTCAGCTCGAATAGCATCTCGCCTTTCTGGGTTCGCCTGGTTTTCACCACATTCTCGCCTAAGTGTTTCAACTCCGGATCATCTCTCACTTTCCGGAGGAGTGCTGCGTAGGACGTTTTGTCCTTCGCCTCAACAACCAGAGCGTCACCCTTGCTTCTCTCCCTACGAGGCCTAGGATTCTCCTTATTCTTCCTGTCTTCCTTCTTCTTCTCTTCCTTCTTCCTCGCTTCTTCTTCCTTCCTCCTCGCTTCCTCTTCCCTCTTCCTCACTTCATCTTCCTTCTGTTTTTTCTTCCTCTCCTTCTGGTTCTCGACTTTACGCCACGCACCATTTTCTCCCATCTCCTTGATGCCTTCCTCGTCGTCCCTGCGTTTTTTGGGCTCCTCCTCATCTCCTGGCGTGTCCCTATCTCTCTTTTCAGGACGTGGATTTGTGGGTCCCTTCGGAGTCTCATGTGCTTGAGCCAGTCTTATGCTCTCCTTGGCCTCCAGCAGAGCTTTTTCGGCATTTTCGGCCCTTTTTCTCCACTCTTGACATTCCCGATCTGCCACTGTTATGCCGGATTTGATACCGGTCACAAGTTGCTTGATCTCTTTGTGTACGTTGTTTTTATCCTTCACGAACACATAGAGATCATCGATCTTCCTCCTGACCTCCGTCATTTTGGTTCTCCCGAGCTGCAGTTCTTGGGATTTGCTACTACTGGATATTGGTGTGAATATCTGGCTTAGCCCAACGCCTGGCTGCTCTTCTTGAAACTTACTGCTGCTGCTGGAACTCGCAGTGACCCCCAGGTTCGACACTGGTGATCTCTGCAATATCCCACTCCTTGCGAACACGTTTGCTCCTCCGTTTTCACTGTCTGGCGTATTGCCGTCGTTCTTCATATTTTTTTTGGTTTTTTCTTTTTCTTCATTTTTATTTTTTTCTCCAATTTTATC